GTGATGATTATGGCTTACAGCTCATGAAAACCCCAAATCCACAATCTCAGAATTAGAATATTAGAATATTACATACAATCAATAAAACAAGGATTGTACATAGAACAATATTGGACCTCTGAAAAGTATAAGCATGCATATGTACTCAGTACTTGGTTTGGGCCCCTTTTGCAGCAATTACTGCCTCAATGCGGCGTGGCATGGAAGCTATCAGCCTGTGGCACTGCTGAGGTGTTATGGAAGACCAGGATGCTTCAATAGCGGCCTTCAGCTCTTCTGCATTGTTCGGTCTCATGTCTCTCATCTTTCTCTTGGCAATGCTCCATAGATTCTCTATGGGGTTCAGGTCAGGCGAGTTTTCTATTAATGTGCTTTAATACAGCACTTTGGGAACATCCAACTTCTTTTGCAATTACCTTTTGAGGCTTTCCCTCCTTATGGAGGGTGTCAGTGATGGTTTTCTGCACAACTGTCAGGTCAGCAGTCTTTACCATGATTGTGATTCCTACTGAACCAGACTGAGAGACCATTTAAAGGCTTAGGAACCCTTTGCAGGTGTTATGGCTTAATTAGCTGATTAGAGTAGGACACTTTGAGCTGAGAATATTGCACCTTTTCACAATATTCAAATTTTCTGAGATTGTGGATTTGGGGTTTTCATGAGCTGTAAGCCATAATCATCACAATTATGACAAATCACGGCTTGAACTATCTTGCTTTGCATGTAATGAGTCTATCTCCTATATTAGTTTCACCTTTTAAGTTGCATTACTGAAATAAATGAACCTTTGCACGATATTCTAATTTTTCGAGTTTCACCTGTAGTTGCCCAATTAGTGCATTGAGGTCGGCTTGGAAATTGGAGACCTCCTGTAAGGACGTTATTCCACTGCACAGCTTGGTGTCCTCTGCAAAGACTGAATTGGTACTTATAACGCGAGACCCTATATCGTTTATAAATATATTCAAAAGTAAGGGTCCCAACACTGAACCCTGGGGTACACCACTGATAACCCTAGACCATTCAGAGTATGAATAATTAACCACTATTCTCTGAATACGATCTTTTAGCCAGTTTTCTGTCCATTTACAAACCGATTTTTCCAAGCCTGAAGACATTGCCTTACACATTAGCCATGTTTGGGGAACTGAGTCAAACGCTTTTGCAAAATCCAAGACTTATCGTGCTGATAACAGAGGAACAGGGTAGCAGACTGAAATGATACTTAGTGCTTTGGGAGAGAGGAAAGTAAACACTGTAGAAATACATGCTTTGTTCAGATTTCATGTCTAAAGTTTGAAACCACTTTACATGCTGTCATCGTGTCTGGCATTTTGGTCACTACGTTTGTAACAGATGCAGTATACTTGTTGAACACAGAGAAATCTTAAGTGGGCCTCAAGCCCCTTTCCTTTTTGCTGACCAGAGGGCTGCATTTATTTTGAACCGGCTGTCTTTTAACCACTTGATGCCCAGGGAAAATTTTTAAAATATTCACACATACGTAAAAATCAGCTTTTTTTTTTTGCTAGAAAACTACTTAGAACTCCCAAATGTTATATATTTTCTTAAGACAAAAGCTCTGGAGAATAATATGGTGGTTGAATTTTTTTTTTTTTTTTATTTTATGTTGCATATTTCCACAAATTTTCAGGAAAAAAAACACTTAAATGCATTTTAGTGCATACTAACAGTATAAAATGCTAATTTTTTTTTTTGGTATAATACAAAAGATGTCAAGTAAATAGATACCAAAAATGTCCAGATTTAAAATTTTGCACACCCATGAAATGGCAACAGACTATGGTACCTAAAAGTCTCTATAGGTGATGCTTTATAAGCCTTTGCAGGTTACCAGTTTTGCGTTAAACATGAGCTCTGGCACTAGAACTATTGCTCTCACTCTGACTTTCGTGGTGATACCTCATATGTGTGACGCAATCATCGTATACAAATGAATGCGGGGCCCGTATGCATGTTTGCATTTGTGCATGGAGACGGGGAGCTTTACATTTTTTTTTTTTTTAATTATTTATTTATTTTTTTTTACACTGTACAACATCCGTTGTAAAAGCTGGGACAGTGACAGGTTCTCTGTATAGAAGACTCCTCATCCTTTCTCTGCCCTCCAAAGCATCTGGCATATTGAGATTTGATGCTTGCCTGGCAAGCAATTGTCCGTAAACAAAGAACTGGAAGTGATGAAATCCTTTTCTCTTCCGGGCTCATTCATCACAGAGGAGGGGAAGAAATGGATGTGCCCTCTTCTCCTCTGTGCTCAGCCAACCCGACTGCTTACAGTGGTCCTGTGCTCCCTGGTGGAACGGAAGAGTCTGGGATTGGTGGCCAGAGGGGGTGGCCCACTTCCCAGCCCAGTAAAACTGATAGGGCAACTGTAGAGTATTTTAAAGAATTTTCAATACCACTCTAGCAAGGATTGATACTCATGAACCAGCACAAGTCTTATTCACAGCAGAGATGAATGCCCTCTGATCTGTGTCTCTTGAAGTAGTCTTGTCTGGACTTCTTTCGCTTTCTAGACAAAATAAATCAAGATCCAGTCCCAGTGGAGTAGAGCCTGGTGCTGGTAAGAGCTTTCGATCCTTGTCTCTTGAGCAGAGAAGGATTGTGAGCAGTCCAAAGATTTGAGTGGCTGGCTGATTGCTGCATCCTGCTGTTGCATGTTCTCTCCACACGAAATATTGTTCTGTTACGCCTGTTTACTTGCAGTCTATGTGAGTAGGTTTTTTTAGTGCCTTTAATAAAATCATCCAGAAGTTATCAAACTATTGGAGTTCTCCTGTGCTCTTTTTATGTATCCATCTGAAGGATTTGTGAAGGGAGAGCAGAGGAAGTGGTGAATAACAGCCTAAGTACCTGACATGAGCCTTGTTTGCCTAATCTGTTCTTAGATAGGCATATGGGTCTGGTAAGTGCAACCCTTGATTGTGGTGGAGGGAGCACTTTTTGATATAACTAACTAAAACACCTGGGAAGAAATACTTGGTGGAGGAAACTTTTTAGATAACACTCCAATGGACTTTGTATTGCTTTTTGTATTTGTTGATTTTTCTCAATTATTTTTTCTCAGTGGATTCTTTTGTCATTTTGATATGCATGTTGATTTGAAAAGTGGATTATGTTAGCACTGATTTGTTAATGATTTGTTTTCTGCGCTGTATTTTGTGTATTTGATATTCAATATGTAACTGAAGCTTATTTAATTAATACATATGAATATAACAATTAATAAGTATTCCAGTTTTTATAATGTTGACTCATTATAAACATATTTGGCAAAAACTAGCCTACCCCAAAAAAGTAAGATAGCCATGCTCAGGTAGGTGAACCAAATTTAAAATGTATAAGTTTATCTGCATCACTGTTCCTTTGGGTGGTTTAAGAGGAGTTTTTTTATTTAATATATTCTCTTATCAGGATTATGGCATTTCTACCCATTTGGACTTCGTGGTTTGTTATCTGTTCCAATGGCTGCATTTTCTGGCTCACAAAAAACTGCAAAAGACAGTGCTTTGAGAGGAGACAGTCCAGGACCCAAAGTACAGCCTCTACAATTACAGGTTTGTACCACACCAGTCTTTGTTAGTATTTTTTTTTTTTTTATCATTTGTCAGTAAGGCCTCATGTATACCTGGAGCTTTTGTAAACACTTTTGTCCTGGTAGGAGAAAAGCAGCTTCAAAAGGCGCACATCAAACACTTGGGTGTTTATTTTATTGGCTAGAATGTTATTTATTAGCTCAGCCACTAAACACATCTAGTGCTTACAAATGGGCAAGTCAAACGTTTGTTCAGGCAAAATGCTCCTCTCCTGAACACACAAGTGATTTTTTTTTTCTTCCTGGAAACACCACTGCCTCTAAACACCTGTAAATGCAAACTAAAAATACTATTTAATTCTTTTTTTAATATTCAAAGCAAACTGAGCCATTCATCCATGTCTCCATGCTTTATTTTGGTGAGAAATCATTTTGAAAAAAACACCCTCTAGCATTTCTGGTAGTGGTTATCTTTAGTAAGGGCAGATGATTGGCAGTAAGGTGCACATGGAAGGGCAATGCACACTGCAAACAAAGGATTTCCCAGCAACACTTACCAACCAGCCTGTGAAACAACCAATTTGGCCCGGTCTTAACAGTTTGTGTTAAAAACAGAGGGTTTTGTTTGCACACTTTTGCACAGTCCCAAATCAAGGGTCCTCTGTATACTGTGGGCATAACTAAAATTTCCCAAGCCTCCATAGTAGGAGCCCATGCATCAATAGATATATTACGGACATGTGTGCCTGGAGGAGCCCAGCTCTCCTTAAAGGTACAGGGACGCACGTGATGCCCAGCTATACCAAAATGACTGCAAAGGCATCAAGTGCATCCAAATTCGCCAACTACAAAAAAAATGGCAACTGTCCCAACCTATAGCCAGCCTTTGCAGTAAGGTGCACATGGAAGAGCAATGCATATCGCAAACAAACAAATAATTTCCCAGCAACACTCACCAGCCAGCTGGCGAAACAACCAATTTGGCCCTGTCTTAACAGTTTGTGTTAAAAACAGAGGGTTTTGTTTGCACACATTTGCAAATACATGCGTAAGCCACAGTCCCACTTCAAGGGTCCTCTGTATGATGATTCATGTATCATTTACTTACTGGAATCCATCTGCCCTTACCTCAGGCATAAGCTGAGCTGAGAACCCTCACTCCCTTCATGAAGACTCTTGGGATGTATGACATCATTTGGAACCAGGAAGTAACTGAAGAAATGTAAACGAAAAAATAAAAAATCAAATGTAAACAAAAGTTTAAAACAAATAAATATGATATACTTTCCTATCTATTTACTAATGTGAGTACCATAAGGATTAAAAATAGTCAGTGTTGATTGAGAGAGTGAAGTTCCGCTTGAGCATGGAGGGGCATTTAGAGGCAGAAAAAAAGAAAGTGTGTGTGTATGTATATATATATATATATATCTATCTATCACATTACTGTAGAGAATTTTCAAGCTCAAGTGTGCGTGAGGCCTAAATGTCTATCCATCCAAGTTAAAACTTTTTGTTTAGATGAACTCTGGTAATTTTACAGCACAGACTGCCTACCTGAATTCTTCTGCCCATTGACATTGAAAAGCAGGGGCAATGCATGTGCAAGTTAGCTGCTGAAATATATCTTTATTAGAACTAGCATGTTTTTGCCTGTGGAGAAAAGAACAGGGAACACTGAATGGTGGCCTATCTCAGGGGAGACAGAATGAACAGTCAGAAAAGTACCTAGCCAACAAGTATGCTTGTGCAAAAATTATCAGCCATTGTTGTGCAGGGGCCTACAAATATACTAACATTCTCCTATCTGAGCATAAACAGCCAGACCAGGCAACCACTCTAATATGTCTAGGACAAATATACAGTACTGATTTAAATTTAAAGGATGAGTTCACCTTTGGAAAATTTATAAATGCACATCTTTTTTACAGGTAAAAAAATTTGCATTTTTAATTTTTTTACTAGGAGTCTGTAGAGCATTGTGCCTGCGTTCAACAGATCACGGGTGCAGTGCAGGACTCCTGCAGACTGTCTGTGTAAGCTGTCTGCTGGTACCTCTGCTTGTACGAACAGGCAGTTACACAAAGAATCGGTGAACTACCTTGAGAACCACACCCTGATAGTTCATTGAAAACTACAAGCCGACAGCCGCAAATGCCATGCTCTTTTCAAATAGTGACAACAGATACTGCTGTCACGGAGTTTGGGGAGCGGCTGCAGGATCTGGAACATGTTACACCCTGTTATACCCTAAAAATGGGTAGAACATGTAACATGTTCCCAGAAATGAACTTATCCTTTAAAAGAGAAGTATGGCCAAAGCTTTTGTCAGTCAAATGTGCCAGTCAGGAAAATATTTTTCTTTATGGTAACTAATGGGTAATGAATGATTATTTTCCAAACAACTATTATTTTAAAACATTTTTACTCATATTTCTTTTAAAAGCCTGAATTAATGTCACGCATAGAGTCTCTAGAGAAAAGTTTTCAAATCCTAGAGGATGAGCAAAGATTGTTAAGAACTATGAAATCCGCCCCCACCGCAGACACTGGAATGAAACGAGAAGAGGTTCTTCAGATTTTCAAAGACTTGTCCAGCTCCAAAGATTTGGCTTTAAGACAACAGATTATGCAAGAAAGCATAGAGAAGACAGAGGTATGATAAATGTGAATTTTTACTGATTTACATGCATAGAATGATGTCTAAATAATGCCATTTAACTGTACCTATGCATTTCATTATTGTAGAATGCACTGATAGGACTGAAACAGGAGCAACAAGATCATCTCCAGGGCATTCTTCAAAAAATGCATCAAAACTCTAAGGTGAGAAGAATATACGAGGTGAACACTGGAAAATTAAAAAAAGGCTGTGTCCTCGTATTTTGGTATAATGTACTGCTGAAAAAACATGGAAAAATAAGATCCAGTAAGTATGGCAGTACTGAAATCGGTATGTGACAATTTCAGGTCAGGATTGGACTGAATCCATCTGAGATGGACCGTTGTGGTGATATAAAAATGTTTTGTCACTGAAAACAGATTGTCATTTCTTCCCACAGGATGTAGAAGACCAGATTTTGCAGCTCAGGACAGAGGTTAAAAGGTAAATAAAGAATGTTACACATACAGTACGTCAGCAGATGGTGGTATTCTTTGTATCTGTGGTGCAGCATAATAGCCATATCTGTTGTTTTGTCTAATAAATTGTACACACTATAATTTCATATTTCTTTATTAGTTTAATTTCTTATTTCAATGACTTACATACATAGAAATAGGCAGGCCATGTGCCTTATTCAACCTATATAATATATATTCTGCTCCCAAGCAGAAGTGACAATTTAATATGTTTGTTCTTCATACATCATCTTGTTTGTGATTGCCTTTAGGTAGCTGTGTATAAAATTTTTCAGTGTTCACAGTGCTTTTGAAATGGTCCTTTCTGTCAACATGTATATGGCAACAGTAGATAACTGGAAACATTACTATTATAGGTTAAAGTTGTCATTGCACGGGCATCACTTAAAGAAGTAATAAGTGTCTGCCTATTTCCATTGTTTACTCAATAAGTATCACCTGCCTGGAAGTGCTTTTAGCTGCACCAGATTGTATATAATGTAAGACACCACTGGGGTGAAAGTGAACAGAATCCCTATAAATGAATAAAATGAAAACCCAGGGTCTTGGAACTCTTAGCAGCCCTATAGTGACCAGAGTGCTCAGATAAAGCATCTGCACGTGAAGGGGTTCTGTTGGTTTTTGTTACAATAATCAGGGAGCAGTCTAACCTGCATATGTCCATACAAAGTGTGCAGCAGAGTAATCAGTCCACATCAGTGAACTGAGGGCACCAGGCCCATTCCTACACCACCAGACTCCGCCTGGCTACAGACTCCGCCTGCATGCTATTAGGCCCTGCCCACAGGCCACACCAGTCCTTCCCCACATGCTGTGACCACATTCTTCTTGGTTGGTTCCCTACTTCTGTCATGCAAGACCCCACTGATCATCAGTGCAAAACCTTGCTCACCACCACAGCACCTGACACCTTGCTTTCTGTTTTGCTGCGCACTTCACTTGCAAATGCACTGTGTACGCTTTTTTTTTTTTTTTTTTTTTCTCACCTACACCCTTTTTTGCACTTGCCGACACTGATTTGCAGTTGCCAGCAAAGCAGCTATGTGCACTTGCTGACACCACACCTCCAAGCACTTTTTTGCATTTGCTGCACTAGCCAAAACTGTACCTCTGTACTAGCTAACATTGCACCTAAACACACTTCTGCATTTGTCATTCTCACAACAGCACGCTTTCTGCACTCGCCAACAGAGTGGTGCACTTTTCTGCACCTGTCATCATTATATAACATGTAATAAATATTTTTAAACAGTGCGCTGGACCCCCCCCCCCCCCCCCCTTTTTTTTTTTTTTTTGTACAAAAAAAAAATATAGTACATGATGATCCTTCCCTTAGCAGCTGGAGTCAATCTGTTCCCCTCACAGAACAGAAATGGTAATGATATAAATGACCAGTGCTCTCAAAATAATACGTCCAGTTTTATCTCTGTATAACCAAAGGTCAGATTTCATACTTCCATCAGCTTCTTTCTATGAATCCAATCTTCCTATACAGTGATCTCCAAAAAAATAATCTAGTGTAGTATGCTCAATACACCATGCTTCAAATTCTGTCCAATGTGCTCACATGTATAATAAATAACCATATGTGTATTGTTATCCAGTGTTCTTCTTCAATATCTACCCTTACCCTTGATATACTTGGTGTATATCCAATCAATTATTCTCAGATTCACTTCAGCTGTGTCTCCTTGTGTCTGGTACTTCAGTGGTCGTCTCACATCAAGATCCACGCGATTTCACCCAAAATACAAAATACCAATATAGGACAATACTGTTTCTAAAAATCTCTCTAAGATAGAAAGCCACTCACATTATAATATAGTAACTGTGCGTTCCCATTAAGACCCATTGAAGGATCCACCAAGTGTATCACCTCACCAAAGACACTCAAAGCTCCTTACCAAACTTCCAATAAACTGTGCTTTTAATAAACCATTCCACCTTCTTCCTGCTCTTTACCAGCGTGACCTGTGCGAATGGTCCCCTAAAAAACAAAGACTAACCACTTGCCCTCCAGAGGATTTACTGACTAGGCCATTTTTTGCGATACGGCACTGTGTTACTTTAACTGACAATTGTGCGGTCATGCAACGCTGCACCCAAATGTATGTCTTTTTTTCCCACAAATAGAGCTTTCTTTCGGTGGTATTTGATCACCTCTGCATTTTTTTATTTTTTGCCCAATAAAAAAAAGAAGACAATTTTGAAAAAAAAAAAACTATATTTTTTTACTTTTTGCCATTAAGCATGATCAGTAAAAAAAATTTTAAAAATCAAATTTCGTCATAAATTTAGGCCAAAATGTATTCTGCTACATGTCTTTGCTAAGAAAAATCCCAATACATGTAAATTAATTGGTTTACGTGAAAGTTATAGGGTTTACAAATGGCGGTGTATATACTGGGATTTTTATTTTTACTAGTAATGGCGGCGATCAGCAATTTATAGCAGGACTGTGGTGGCCATTCTGACACTGGGGGGGGACTGTCTTGGTGTCACTGACATCCCCAGTGACACCAACACAGTGATCAGTGCTAATAAAAAGCACTGACACTGTACTAATGGCACTGGGCAGGAAGGGGTTAGCATGTGGGTTGATCAAAGGGTTAACTTTGTGCTATTTTACTATGTGGGCTGTGTGTGCTTTACACTGTAAGCACACTGCTTTGTATGGCTCTGCTGTGCAGAGCCATACAAAGCAATGTGCAGGAGCTGACAGGGGAGAGATCTGTATTGTTTACATACAGGTCTCTCCCCCGTCGTAAATCCTTGGACATCGCCGGGTGCTGGCAGGGAATCACCGAGCAGGACTCGGTGAATGGCGGCGCGGGTAGGGCCCCCTACCCGGAACTGCAAAATCGTGTGTGAGTGATTTTGCACCCCCTGGCCTCCGTGTAGCAGTATTTCTGCTATAGGGTGGCGCGGGAGCGGCTAATATAGTATGATATTGCTTATAAAACAATGCATGAAAATAAAACCTCACATTTCCATACCCCCAAAATAGTGCATATCCCTTTCAATGATACAGATCCACTGCATGCAGATGTTCAGTCGTGGCTCCATGCACCTTACCAGATTGGTGCCTTTCAAATCACTTTCCACCAATCTGGTAAGGTGCATGGAGTGACACTATTAAACACGTGCATGTGGTGGATCTGTATCATTGAAAAGAACATGCACTATTTTGGGGGTATGGAAATGTGAGTGGTTAAGTTTAAATTTTTATTTTTCAGTTGCTGAAATCACACCAGCACGTACGTCTGCACTAGACAACACGGCTATGGTGTGCCCTTTTGGACTCGATAATAATGCAATGCACACTTTTGTAATTGATACCAGAATGACATACATTTTGCATCCTCCAGCACCACCATGATGTGCACTATTTCACTTGCCAGCGCTGCAGCTTCGTGTATTTTGGCACTCATTGACACCAAACAGTGCAGCTTTCGCACTGGACAACACCAACAGCATGCACTTCATTATTCATCCCGATGAACAAATGGGCACACATTTGCTAGTCTTGGTATTTCTTATAGGATGGATGTTTAATTTTGTCTTTTGTTTACAGCCCACATCAGGACAGTTTTAGGGAGAATTTCCTGCAAGATTTAGGAAAACTGGAGACAAAACTTCTACATCTTCAGGAAGAGTTGGAAGCTGTTAGAAAGACCCAGGGTGACGTTTCTCAGCAAATGGCAGCCATTCCTGGCCAGATAAAAGGAGTCAGGGATGAGGTGATTTTTCTGTTTTTTCCATTTGTCATTTTTTTAAAAAGTTATTCATGAGCACACCACTGACTGGATACATTATTAAAACTACCTGCATATAGACATGCAATGATTATTAGTAACTGAAAATGTTATATCCATAGTAATATATATATTTTCTCTGTCTGCAGTAACCCTTAGCAACCCATTAGAAAACTCGGCTAATCTGAATATAATAAACAAAAAAAGTGATTCTGTTCAGCTTTGTATTACTGCAGTTTGCACATAATCCATGCGTCTTGAACTGCTTAATTATGCCTGTGATAAATGTTCATGCATACCTTACCGTTTGTCTATTAGTGGACATGTTTATATAAATCTGCATACTCTGGTACATAGGATTACTAATGTTTTGCTTTTATGCTAATCATTATGATCACCTGTTTTTAGTTTTCTCTTTCTTCATTTGTTCCTGGATAAAAAATTACACCACTACTCCGATTAAAGGCAGAGTAGATCAACAATAGCAGTGGAGGATGGAGTTAGGATGTTGGGGGTACTATTAACCCTCCACAATACTTAGTAATTTTTTTTTAAATGACTGTATTTAGGTTTTAATTTCACTTTCTTGGATTACTGTATTTGTCCTTTTTTCTATCTAGCCTATGTTAACTTTGTGCAGTGGATGATGAGACATCTGCATGCCCTTCATTGCTTCACAACCTTTTTTTTTTTTTTTTTTTTTTTTTTTTTTAGAAGAGATGATCAGTCCAAGTGGAAAAACCAGTAAAATTCAGCCAAACTGTTTTTTTTAATTTGTTGTGCCAACCAGTCTTTTACTGAAGTTCTATTTCACATGATTAATGTATGATCAGTTGATAATTTATTATTATGTACATGTCCATTATTATTTAGCTCTTGATGTGTCTACATGTGTGTTCTATTAGGTTCAAACTCTCTTCCCAACCTGGCTCCTGAGTAACTTGGAATCAGAGTCACTCTCGAATGTATTCCTCCGCCAGGAAGAGCTGCAGAAACCTTTAGTGGATTTGAAAAAAAAAAAATCCTTGCTGCTGTTGCTGCAGACAAGAAACTACACAGATCTCAGGCTCAAATAGCCATAGGCGAGCAGATACAGGCAAGCGGACTTTCTGGAGTTTCACGAGAGGTAAGAGATCTCACTGCAGCACCTCTGAAATCTTTTTTCTTACTGCCAAATCAAAGTTGTACTGCCTTGAAGGACAGTCTTTTATGTAGCCATACATTGGTAAATTCTTTATCCAAGCCAGGCTACTAAAATTTGCACTTCATTTGTCTCTGCTCTTTGCAGATTTCCACAAAGGTAACCTGTTTTTTTTTTTTTTTTTTTTTTTTTTTTTTTTTTTTTGTAAGGGAGAGATAGCCAGTGCCAAGCTTTTTAAATATGGTTCAGGTTGTAATTGCCTGTTGACTGGCAGAGAGTAAGAGATTTGACTTTATTTGCTAATAATCAGCCTAGGCATGGACCATCTCCACTTTGTAAGCTGAATAACTTCCAGGTGGAGAGAGTGTGCCATGTACAGACACAATTTTTGAACCTTCGGTTACCTGGTGCCAAGAGAGATGTGAAAAATCCAGATCTGCTTATTTGTGGCAGTTGTAGTTGAATAATGATTAAAATAGGATGATGTTCTAAGAACTTTAGGCTGGATTCACATTGTTGTCGTGTGTTTCAACAAGTATGTTAACATTTATTGTGTTAAGGCAGCTGTATACTTTGAATGACCTGCCAGTACACTTCAGTGGACATTTAACGTACCTGCACCTTGAGTGAACTGCACAGCAACATACCACAGTCAATTTCATGTGTTACGATAATATGTTGTAAAACACACAGGTGGAGGCTTACACTATTTAATGATTTTCAGACCACACAAAGAAATTTAAATAAATTCTGTGTTTTATTTAAAACTATATTATTAGTCACAATTCTGAGATGTAGACTCCTGATCTGACACACTCTAGATGAGAGAATGAATACAGCTTCTTGCATATACTTCAGTCTCCTTTCTTTGATTAAAGGTACAACACTTTCTATGTACCCATTCCATAACCTGTAACATATTTTCTTTTTTTTCAGGAAGTGTATGAAATTGTGAATCGTGCCCTACAGAGATATAGTGAGGACCGAATTGGTTTGGTGGATTATGCGCTGGAATCTTCTGGTTGGTTTGTTTTCATTTGCCTAACCTGTAAAGATAAGCCCTGAAAAGCTGATAAGTGTTTTATCGACTTTTTTTTTTCCTTTTTTTCATCTTATATGACTGTTGTCTTGTAGGAGCCAGTGTTCTAAACACTAGGTGTTCTGAGACCTATGAAACCAAAACTGCCCTGCTCAGCCTGTTTGGGGTTCCACTATGGTACCAATCACAGTCCCCACGAGTCATCCTTCAGGTAAAAGTGTAGTGCTACAACACAATGAATAATGAGAATTATAATTATTCTTAAATAAAACCATCAAAATATACACATCAAATGCACTCCAGGAGTCATCTTCTGGCCTTGTGGATGTCACAGAAATAAAAAATTTAATATTTCACACTGTTTGCATGTGGCTAATGTGAACAGTAGGAAACATTTTTCAGTATTTTAGATTTTGTATGGTGTTCTTCCATAAATTTTTAATTTTTAGTCTAAGCATTTACTGACTGAATGTGTCTAACTTGTTCTTTTTTTAATGTTTCCAGCCAGATTCAAACCCAGGTAACTGCTGGGCTTTTAGAGGATCCCAAGGGTATGCTGTAGTCCGTCTGTCTAGTCGCATTCGACCAACAGCTGTCACTGTAGATCACATCCCTCGTTCTTTGTCACCAAAGTCCACAATTTCAAGTGCTCCAAAGGATTTTCGCTGTATATGTAAGTGTGTAATTGATTAATTCGATAAATAAAAGTGTACTGGATTCCATTAATACTTTCTAAGGTCCTAAAGCAATACTAAAGGCTGCTATTTATTTTTTCCTAAAAATAACTAATTTCTCTCTGCAGTGGATTTGCACAGAGCAGCCCCGATCCCCCGCAGGCTCTCCTAGCCCCTTCCTCCTGTCGGGTGCCCCCACAGCAAGCAGCTTGCTATGGGGGCACCTGCTGCTCCATGTGTCCATTCACACACAGCCATGGCTAGGTCCTGCCCCCTCTTCTCACCCCTTTTGAAAAGTAAGATTTTAATAAATATCTCGATGAACACAAGAACAATTTCCAAAATTTTGATAAAAGTCAGTGTTATAGAACATTTGTTTAGCTCATTACATGAAAGTAAGGTTAATAATATAAACGTAGATTATAAAATCTTTAGTTTCGCTCAAATTAGTTGATGCAAAAATTAATACACCCCACAACAAAAACTACTACATCTAGTCTTTTGTATGACCTCCATTCTTTGTAAAGACAGCACAAAGTCTTCTAGGCATGGAATTAACAAGTTGGTGACTTATTGCAACATCTATCTTTTTCCATTCTTCAAGAACAACCTCTTTTAGAGCCTGGATGCTGGATGGAGAGTGATGCTCCACCTGTCTCTTCAGAATTCCCCATATGTGTTCGATTGGGTTCAGATCAGGAGACATACTTGGCCACTGAATCCCTTTCACCCTGTTCTTCTTCAGAAATGCAACAGTGGCCTTAGATGTTTGTTTTGAATCATTGTCATGTTGGAAAAGTGCACGATGACCAAGGGCATGGAGTGATGATCTTCTCTTTCAATATAGAGCAGTACATCTGTGGATTCATGATACCACCAATGAAATGCAGCTCCCCAACACGAGCAGCACTCATGCAGCCCCACAGAAGGACACTGCCACCATCATGTTTCACTGTAGGAACCATGCATTTTTCTTAGTACTCCTCACCTTTACGATGCCATACAGTTTAGAAGCAATCCTTTCCAAAAACATTTATCTTGGTCTCATCACTCCAGAATACAGAGTCCCAGTAGTCTGCTTCTTTTTCAGCATGGGCCCTGGCAAATTCTAAGCAGGCTTTTTTGTGCATGGGCTTTAGGAGAGGCTTCATTCGTGGATGACACACATGCATGCCATTCCTCTGCAGTGTACGACATATTGTGTCACAGAAAATATTCACTCCAGTTTGGCTTTCTACTTTAGCTAATTGCAGTGAACTTGCATGGCAATTTTCTTCAACCCTTCTCATCAGAAGACGCTTGGCAGGTACCGACTGGCAGTGACTCTAGAGATCCACAGGCCGGGGTTCCCCAGGGTGCGGAGTCTAAGCCCCGGTCTGCTTATTCACCAGAGCCCCTGATGGTGGGGATGGACTTGGAGCAGGCTGAGACCAGGTCGCAGCCCCTGAGTACACCCAGCTGTGGTAGAGGTAAATGCCAGTGGTATGAAGCGGATCAGAGCCTGCTGTGAAGAGGCGGAGCAGATTTGGCAGCAGCGGGTGCATCCGTGCAGGATGGATGGACGGATGACACCATGGAGAGATAGCGAAGTCGGGCAGGCCGGGTCGGTAACAGTGGAGGCAAACTGTACAGAGCAGTAAGCAAAGAGTAATCGGGTCACAGGCCAGGTTCAGCAGCAGGAGGTCAGATCATCAGGAACAGGCAGAAGAGAAGTCAAGATGAGCCAGGGGTCAGGGCAGGAGACGGTCAACTGCAATCGGGGTCAGGCTAGGTCAGCAACAAGGCAATCTCAGGAACAGAACAAGCAGGAACAAGACAATACGGCAATATGAGCATTGCAAGAGCTGGTTTAAATAGCCCGCCCGGTGCCGACAGGCACGCCTGGGTCCTAGTGCCTGCCCGGCGCCGTCATTGGTGACAGGCGCGCCTGGGTCCTAGTGCCCGCCTGCCTGTACGTCTTGTCGGGATCCTACGCATGTGCAGATTCGTGCGCTGCGGTGATCTTCTCGTTCCCTGACAACGCTCCTGATTCTGTGTTAACTTCCGTGGATGACCTGGACATCTCTGTGAGATGGTTGCAGTTCCATCTTTGTTAAATTTTTGTATCACGTTTGCTACAGTATTCTGACTGATATGTAAAGCTTTGCTGATCTTTTTGCAGCCTTCACCTTTCTTGTGTAAAGAAATTTTCTTTCTCAGGCCTTGTGACATTTCTCTTCCATGTGGTGCATGTGGTAGCATAAAAATGGGAAGGGGTTTTCTTAAGTAACACCCTTTTATAATCTACTGTCTGCTGGAAACCTGTTAACCGCTTCCCCTCCGCCTTATAGCAGAAATACAGCTACAGGGTGGCAAAATCACAGGTGTGTGTATATAATATATGTGATTTGCATTTCTGGATCGGGGGCGCACTCACTACCCTACCCACGCCGCCATTGGCGGCTACAGATGTCCATCACTGGGTCCTGGCTAAAGATTCCCCATCGGCACCCAGCGATCGCCGGGAAACAGTGACAGTGGAGAGACCTGTGTGTAAACAACACAGGTCTCTCTCCTGCCAGCAATAACATGCATTACGCCATTACTAGTATACAAAAAAATTAAAATTCCAGTATATATACACCTTCATTTGTAGATGCTATAACTTTCACGTAAACCAATAAATTTACATGTATTGTTTTTTTGTTTTTTTTTGGTTTTTTTTTTTTTTTTGTTTATTTAGCAAAGACTACAGAATACATTTTGGCCTAAATTTATGGCGAAATGTGATAAAAAAAAAAAAAAATTTAATAGATATGTTTTATAGCAAAAAGTCAAAAATATTGTGTTGGTTTTTTTTTTTTTGGGGGGGGGGGTTGTCTTCTTTTTGTCTCTTTTGTTTGTTTTTTTTAAATTGCGCAATAAATAAAAAATGCACAGTAGATCAAATACCACCGAAAGACAGCTCTACTTGTGGGAAAAAAATTACATACTTTTCATTTTATGTACAGTGTTGCATGATCACGCAGTTATCAGTTAAAGTAACCCAGCACCGTATCACAAAAAATGGCCTGGTCAGGAAGGGAGGTAAATCCTCTGGAGGGCAAGTGGTTAATAAATAATTAGACTCACTTGTAGTTGAATTTTTGTTAATTAGGATTTTATTGTCTAAAATTTAGCTTTGCTCATAAGACTTTCATTGGATTGTATTCATTTTTACAACATGATCTTGAATGAATTTGCTAGAAAAAATACTTTTTTTGTGCGTGCAATTTAACAAATCTAGTTTGCAATCAATGGCCCACATTTGTGGGAGTATTTTTGTAGTATAGCGTCCCATAGAAAATGTTGATTCTGAAAGTAAAGTAAAGGTTTTCTTACAAATCTGTTCGGGTGTACTCCTTTATGCTGAGCTATGTATGTATGTGTGTTTTGTGTGTGTGTACACCCCTTTTGATAAGTAAGATTTTAACCACTTTTGCCGCCTGCAATGTACTGCAGACAGGCAGCAGCTAATGGGTATATGTGGAATAACACCCCAATACACATTCTGCTACTTTTCCCGTGTATGGGGATACCACATGTGAGAGACTTTTTTTGGCAGCCTAGCCACATACACGCCCCCAAAACCCAATGGCCCCCAAAATCCAATGACCACCTCCAGGCACTTCCTCACTACCTATTACAGTATTGGAGGCCCTGAAATGCCAGGATAGTACAAACAACCTCCCTAATGACCCCTTTTTGGAAAGTGGACAACCCAAGGAATTTGATAAGAGACATTGTGAGTATTTTGCAGATATAATTTTTGTCACAGGGTCTTCTAACCACTTTGAAGACCAAGCCTTTTCTGACACTTTTTGTTTACATGAAAAAAAAGGTTTTTTTTTTTTTGTTTTTTTTTTTTTTTGCTAAAAAAAATTACTTTGAACCCCCAAACATTATGTATTTTTTTAAAGCAGAGGCCCTAGAAAATAACACCATGATACCAAACATGACATGCTTTAAAGTTGCGCACAAAATTTTAATAGCCATAGGCAATGCTTTAAAAGACTTTACAGGTCACCACTTTAAATTTAAACAGAAGGTCTAGTGCTAGAATTACTACCCTTGACCTGACGTTTGTGGTGATACCTCACATGCATTGTGCAATCTCTGTTTATATACCGCCATGGGACTGCCGCTTGCGTTTGCCTTTGCGCACAGGCATGGGGGTGAATAATTTTTTTTATTTATTTTGCTTTTTTTTTTAATTATTATTTTTCACTGTACTTTTTTTTTTTTTTTTTGTTTTCCCCAATCACTTTTTTATAACAATTAAAATATAATATAGAATATAATATTTTATAAAGCATTAAAATATTCCCTGTGATAGCAATAGGCAGTGACAAGTACTCTTTTCTGAGTAATCTGGGATCTATTAGACTCTAGATCTCTCCTCTGTCCTTAAAGCATCTGACCACACTGAAATCGATTTGATCAGGTACTTTCCCAATTTTAAAATGGGCCTGTTTATATCCTGCAAAACTGGAATGGTGAAATGCACATTGCTTCCTGCTTCTTAGACCATAGAGATGATTGAAGCCATTCAATCTGGTTATCTATGCTACTCTCTCTCTCATAGGAAGCTCCAATACTTTGAGTGTAAGGTCTCCAGCCCTGAAATAAGTACCTGGGTTCCAGCTTTAGATGTTTTGACACCTTTCTTGTTAATAAGTTTCATCCTGATTTCCCCTTGAAACCTAGACTTCAGCGAATGGAGAGGCCCCTAAAAGAGGAGTAACGTCACCCTCACCTGTTCCATGCTGCAACATTTGATCTTCCTCTTTTGTATGTGGCCGCTAACATGCCGATGCCACAACCAATCACAGAGGGGACACTGTCCTAAAGGGCTAGCATGCCTATTGCTTGGTATTCGAGCAGTGCATCTGCAGGCTAGCTGCCAAACCTCCTATGTCTCCCAGTGACCTGAATATGTCTTCGGTGATCCTTTGTATTCCAGTGTGCAAACTGCAACCGGTACCTGTGTGTTCCACCCAGCTAGTTCTTACCAGTACCTGTGGGATTATCTGAGCAATTCTATCATCCTATCTCCCTACACTTCTGTGTCTCCTGTACACTCCAGGCTTTCTCTCTGTGCCCAGAATCCCATTGTTGCAAGAGATTTGTAACTATTACTTCTAGTGAGCCCAGCACCCCATTCCTGCCATAGACTTTCATCCTTGTATTGTGCATGATCAGTCTCCAGGAGCAGCTGCCTGCATGGGTGAGTCCGAGGGCCATAACCTGGGAGTTGTGAACAGCAAAACTTATCACCCTTTGCACGGTGCTCTGGTGAAGTCCAGATGGCTCTTAGACCATTCTAAGGACCTTTGTGGAAAGAGCGGGCACAGTGACATCATTCCCTTCAATTGCATCAGGTATGCAGTCCTTACAGTGTCCTTTGACTCTCCATGACTCCACAAAGTTCTGAATATCTCTTCTGTGGCCTATTCCACCACCTAGCCGCAGCTGCATTTTTTAGGTCTTGGTCTACTCCCAGTTGGAACAGATTCTCTATCTGTGAGAACACAGGATCAACTCAAACAGGTCTCATTACGTCACACCCAGAAATGTCCTGTGCAGAGTGAAGTTATGTGCGGGGACTGAAATTAAGGTTGGATCAACTTTGATCAAGCAGAAGTTAGTTTTGGGCCTTTACCCTGGTACCCTCCAAATGAACAGGCTGTTAAACCTACTGCTCAAGAAGATAAAGCAGAGCGGGGCGACCTACAGCTGGGGCTGTCCAATGTACCTACTGATATATAAGAACCCCTCCAGCCTCATTCTGCACAATCCTGCTCAACTATCTGACCTCTTCTGCTTTCTGGGTTATTCCACTGGTGGATGTGCCTGACTGGCTTGAAATTGATCAGTTCTTCTCTTTTTTTCTCTTCTACCACAGAGATCTTCCTGCTTTAGCTCAAGACAGTTGAGGTACAGACACTTTCTGCTGGATCCAAGAATTAACAAGCTCTGATCTTGCCACGAACACTAACCAAAGACACTTACAGGACCCTAGATCCTCTTCTTTCAAATCTAATCTTTACCTATGATGATGCACTACAAACCCTATTGTACAGGGCTCCTCAGCCACCTTACACACACCTCTAATTGACAAGCTAAGCTGTTTAATTGGGTTCCCTCTAATTCTACCTCCCTCAAGTTTAACTATAGGCATAATGTTTTTTTTGTTCATTTTGGATAGAATAAAGAAGGGTTATAACCCCCCCCCCCCCCCCAGTCCGTTTAGATTTCCCCTCTATTACTTTTCTGGGGACAAGCCAAGATTTTCTTTTACTTTTAATTTCAATGATAATGGTAAACAGGACAAATAGAGGGTGAACCTTCCTAATGAGGTAGAGGTAGAAATAAAAACCTGACCATGTGTTCTAATCCAAAAGTAAAAAGAAAAAAAGGTTTTGTCTTTAGTTATACTTTAAGCAATCCCACACTACCTTGTACCATAGATCTCCTGATCTACCCCATCGCAACTTTTAGGAAATAGCACTGAGAGCCCCAGGGACCTAAATCTTTATGGCAGACATACATAGTGGTACTGTCTATCTGATCAGGATGCAGTGACTGTTCTTCCTGTTATTGCGTGGCTGAGTGGACTCCCTGGATCTAATTGATCTAACTGGACTAATTAGGGCACTAACAAACATTCCTAAGACAGAAAGTGGAAACGCTGCACTCCAGACCCAGCCGCTATACAGAGAGGTAAAGATACGGCTTCAGCCTAAACTCCTCCTGGCTATGCTCCTCTGACATGTTTTGCCCGCCTACTGGGCTTAATCATATGATTAAGGATTAGGATTTGTTTTTTTTTTTTGTTTTTTTTACGGAACAAGCCAAACCTATTTATTGATAAGTGATTTATACATTCCCTCTACTAGTAGTATGGATAGCTCCATTCTACACCGTGCTTACTTTTGGGGATCCATCTTCAGACTGATTTCTCTTGGTTGTCTTTCAAAAAATGTATACAAATTGTATACAAACCAAACTGATAAGATATGTATCTTTTATATCTTACCCTCCTATCATCTGACTGTATAAACATTCTTTTTTTTTTTTTTTTTTGTCACCACAGGGTTTAGAGGAAGAAACACAGAAAGAAGGTGTTCTTCTCGGGAACTTCACCTACAGTCAAGATGGAGATCCTATTCAGACCTTTTATATAAAGGTAACAGAGGAAATATCCTCTTCCAATATTTTCTTCTTTAAAGGGTAAGTTCACCTTTTAACAAAAAAATAATAAATGCACATTTTTTGCAGGTACATTTATGCAGGTGCATTTATTATTTTTTGTCTAGAGCATTGTACCAGCGATCAGCAGATTGCTGTTGCTATGCAGGTCTCCTGCAGACCTGTCAGTGTATCTGTGTGGCTGTATATTGTACGGGCAAGCAGATACTTACTAACAGGAAGATTCAAACTACTCCAACGCTCCACAGCCAAAAAGGCTGTTGGACCTTGTAGTGCTGTCATCCACAAAACCGTGTTACCCCCGCATGCCCCCCCGGGAGGGGGGGAGAGGTGTGTGCAGGGGCTGGTCTGTTCATAACATGTTACACCACGAATATGGGTGTAACATATTACAAAAGGGGAACTTATCCTTTTAAAGTTTGCTTCATAATCAGCTACAGTATATATATCAGTAGGTTTCCTATTTGAAAAAAATGTTTTAAATTTTACTGAAATAATCATGTTCTGTATATTTACAACTGGCTCCTATTTCTTGACAGACACAACCCCATCTGTTTCAAACTTCATATCTGTTAGTACCCCATTGATGATCTACTCACTTAGCAATGGCTGATCACAGGTGCAAGGGAGGTGTAACAAACAGGCCAAGTAGCATGCATTCCACAGATGGCCTACAGAAATCTATAACCACTCCTCAAGGTGATGGCTATTCCCAATGTTCTTTTATTATACCACTCTCATTATCTGACTCTGGCTTCCTCTCAGAAATGCAACATGCAGCCTATGTGACAAAAGCATATTTCTCTGTGACTATGGCTAAAAACTTTGCACAGAATCTTTGGTTTCGAGAGGCCAGAAATACTACACATCCTCTATTCTGGCTAACCCAGTTCAGCATTCAGAACTGGAACTTCCTTTACTGGAGGACATTATGGAGGAAAGTGTTGAGGACCATATTTTTGTAGCAGAGGTTGCAGAGGATTTTTCCTCCCCTGCATTTGATGAGGTAGCAGCTGTGGCTTCTCCTTTTGTGGGCATACTAATTGATGTGGTGTGCACTTTGCCTAATAGCACCGGACTCTCCACAGCACAAACAAGTCCCCATGGGAGCTAAAAAAGAGAGACTTTTCCCGATAAATACACAGACTGTGCTTTTTTACGCCTAAGCTTTTTGCTGAGATTTATCCCATGGAAAGGTTTGTAAAAAGAAATACTGTTCTTGTGGTGGATCCTGCCATTTCTTAGTAAACACCTTGCAGTTCTTACTGGGGATGTTCCCTCTTTTAAGGCATCTGTTGGTAGGCATCTGGAAGCCCTCCTAAAGGTCTTCTTTGTCTTTGAAGATCCTGCCCTGGAACTAGCTATTTCTTATGTACATTTGCCAGACTATTCTTAACTGGACAGGACAGGAATAGAGAGCATGGACTTGCTTTTAAGGACCCTGCTTACTTTAAACAATTACAACTGATGCCATCAGAATTGTTTTTGTGTAAGTAGAAAATTCTGTTTATGCTCTGAAATTAATTTTAGTGCACACAAAACCATATGATACTTTTGTTTTGTAAAATATGAGGCTGCCTTGCGTAAATAAATGCCAACTATGTCAAGCCTCAAAATTGCATGCAACTGTGGAATGGCAAAACAATACAGCATCCCAGAATTCTCCATAGGTGACGCTTTAAAGGCCTTTTGCAGTTTATCAATTTAGAGTTAACTAAAGGATGGTCCTAGAATTGTTGCTTTCGCTCCAGCTTGTGCGGCGATTCCTAATATGTGGTGCACTTGTCATGTGTGCACGCGTGCTCACCCAACATGTGCATATGCGTTCATATGTGCATTTTATGTGGGAGCTTTTAACATGTTAGGTGATGTTCTTTATTTATTATCTTGGACTTGCCTTAACATATTAACTACATAAAGTACTTGATTCATTGGTTTCTTGGGCACTTGTTTCTTGTTCTGGTTTCCTATTCCTGGTTTTCTGATAGCTGTGAACCTGAAACTGCTCAAAGCAAAGTGCTGGAGGGTCCACTGCACAGAGAGGTCAGGCATCAGTTCTCTCCTCCATACTCCCCACCAGCCAGCCCGACAGTTTTTTTCTTTTATTGTGTCACAGGAGGTGATGGAAACCCTGGGAACCGCCCCTTCTGCCATCCTTTAGAAGTTGTTAGGTGTCCTTACAAAATAGAATTGATACAAACTATTGACATACTACTTTTTCCAGCCTTTAGTATCTTTTTTATAACACTAGGGAGCATATTTATACAGTAGTGAATGTGATTTCCACCAAACATTTTCTGGTTGTGAATTCACAACTGTCGCTCAAAGCACACACACCTGAAAGATTCACCTGCCGTGAATGTTTTGTAAATGTCAATTGCACTGCTTTATAAATATGCCCATAGAACTGATCACGAGGCAATTGATGGCAGATCCTCCCATTGGCAATGAAGATTTCAAGAATGCCTTCAATGTATGCTCAGATGTGCAGTGGGGGACAGTAAAAATTGAGCCTGTGATTTTATCACCTCCTGACTTCCCCCTTAAGCTGCAAAGGCAGCCAGATGGGGCTGTACACATACTGCAGCAGAAATTATACCTATTGTGGTTGGCTGTGACTGTGTCTACTCTCTAATTGTATTCTCCTTTTTTTGCACGTGTACTCATTGAGTACTGTTATGAACATTACAATACAGATACGATCGACAATGTTCCTTTTTCATCTTTTTTTTGTACTGGATGTTTCTTCTTATGTACCAAAAACGTTAATAAACAGAGATTATGCAAAAATAAAATAAATGCTACCCATTGTGTTCGCCACCAAACGTAATCCATTCAAGTGAATGGGCCTGTGCTACAAACATGAGCCAAATGCTAGGCTTGTGGTTGCAGTGGAGTATTCAGGCAATAAGTCCATTCAGCTGTAATGCCTCTTAAAAGCCTGTCAGCTACTCCTGTGCCAATCTCTAAAAAGTGATCCACCACAGACCAATGCAGGTGTAAATGAGCTTACCTGAAAAGTATATTTTTTCAGTAAAAGTGGAGCTACACTTTTACCATTGAGTTGCTAAATGCATCAATAATACAGCCATTAAATAATATGTAAGCATTTCATATTCCTGCTATACAGCGGATACAGAAAAGAATAACCCCCCTATAAAATAATCACATTTTGTTGCTGTGAAGCCTGAAATGCAAACAGGTGTTTTTTTGTTTTTTTGTTTTTTTTTTTATCCAGCTCTATTTACTCAATAAAGTGCAATGTATAACATCCATGTGACAGATATAACACAAACACAGAATTTCCTAAAAATTACTTTTAAATTCAATTTGGTGTAGCTAATCACCTTCTCAATGGCAGACAAAGCCATTTGACTTTCAACTGTGATCAGCTGTGGTCATTTTTGATTACCTCAGTATGCAAAGAGCTTTCCCTTGAACACTTCAGTCCCTAGTAGTGCAACTGAAACAAACAACTGTGGGTGGCAAGGCACTGTCAAAAGATCTCCGGTTGGGAGATGGATACAATTTCAAAGGCTTGATCAATGCCTAGAAGCACAATAAAGTCTATTAAGAAATGGAAGGTTTTGGGGCAACCCTTACCTATCACATTGTTCCATTCAGGACCCTGTATTATGGGCTCGATACAATATTAAAACATTAGGTGATCTCGTCTCCCAGGGACAATTGCTTACCTTTAACAACTTCAAACAGAGACATGGCTTTCCTAATTGATGTTTTTTAGGTTCCTACAACTGCAACATGCTTTCGGGCCTCAGTTCCCTCGTCCTATGACTCTAGAGGTCCCAGCTTTAGAGACTTTTGAGGTCCGAGATGGCGAAAAACCCCTCTCGGCCTATATAATCCCTTTTTTAGCGGGATTAAATACCTCTAAAGTGTCGCAACTTTACACCCTGTGGCAAACTGATATCCCTACATTAGCTGATGATGATTGGGAAGAGGGTATACAACAATATCTGCCACTGATGATCTTGGCACGGGATAGATTCACTCAACTTAAGTTTTTACATAGAGGCTATTACTCTCCCATTCGCCTGTCGAGAATAAATGCCTTGAGGGACCCTCTTTGCCCTAAATACAACTCGGAACCAGGTACATTTTTTCATGGTGTGGGCATGCCCACCAGTGCAGGAATTCTGGAATGGAGTGGTGGAGGATATTAAAATGATTGGTAAATTGCGGATCTCTTGCAATCCAATTATTGTTGGGGATCTGTGACAATATAGAGGCCCCTCAATCTAAAAAATCTCATAGTGTTCTATGTTAGGAAGGCGTTCTTACACCAATGGAAAAAGCCTCATCCCCCAACTGTTCATCAGTGGAAGTCCATGGTCAATGCTGCCCTGCCCCTGTGTAAACTGACATACCTGGGCCAGAATTACCCCAATAAGGTTAATAAGATATGGGTGGTTGGGGTAAATGTGAGACAGCTGTCTCTAAAAAAAGACTGATCACCTGTTTTTCCTAGGGTATTCTCTGCCACTTGTTAATCTGAAATGGCACCCTCTTCTGGTTTACAGGGGACCTATTATTTTACTTCCTTGTCACTTCTTCGTATTCTTTTCCCCACCCCTTGTCATGTACCCTTTTCCCTTTCTCCTCCCCCCCCTTTTCCCTTTCTCCTCTCCCTTTTTCCCTTCCCCCCCCCCCCCCCCCTTTTCCCTTTCCCCCCCCCCTTTCCCTTTCTTCCCCCCCCCTTTCCCTTTCTTCCCCCCCCCCTTTCCCTTTCCCTTTCTTCCCCCCCCCTTTCCCTTTCTTCCCCCCCCCTTTCCCTTTCTTACCCCCCCCCCCCTTTCCCTTTCTTCCCCCCCCCCCTTTCCCTTTCTTTCCCCCCCCTTTCCCTTTCTTTCCCCCCCCCCTTTCCCTTTCTTTCCCCCCCCTTTCCCTCCCTTTCTTCCCCCCCCCCCTTTCCCTTTCTTCCCCCCCCCCCTTTCCCTTTCTTCCCCCCCTTTCCCTTTCTTCCCCCCCCTTTCCCTTTCTTCCCCCCCCTTTCCCTTTCTCCCCCCCCCCCCTTTCCCTTTCTTCCCCCCCCCCCCTTTCCCTTTCTTCCCCCCCCTTTCCCTTTCTTCCCCCCCCCCCTTTCCCTTTCTTCCCCCCCCCCCTTTCCCTTTCTTTCCCCCCCCCTTTCCCTTTTTCCCCCCCCCCCCCCTTTCCCTTTCTTCCCCCCCCCCCCCCCCCTTTCCCTTTCTTTTCCCCCCCTTCTTTCCCTTTCTCCCCCCCCCCCTTTTCCCCCTTTCTTTTCCCCCCCCCCCCCCCTTTTCCCTTTCTTCCCCCCCTTTTCCCTTTCTTTCCCCCCCCCCCCCTTTTTCCCTTTCTTCCCCCCCCCCCCCCTTTTCCCTTTCTTCCCCCCCCCCCCCTTTTCCCTTTCTCCCCCCCCTTTTCCCTTTTCCCCCCCCCTTTCCCTTTCTCCCCCCCCCCTTTCCCTTTCTCCCCCCCCCCCCCCTTTCCCTCTGTTCCCCCCCCCCTTTCCCTTTCTCCCCCCCCCTTTCCCTTTTCTTTCCCCCCCCCCCAGCTTTTCCCCCCCCCCCCCCCCCGCTTTTTCCCTCCCCCCCCCCCCCCCCGCTTTCCCCCCCCACCCCCCTCCCCTTCTCCCTTTCCCCCCCCCCCCCTCCCGCTTTTCCCTTCCCCCCCCCCCCCCGCTTTTTCCCTTCCCCCCCCCCCCCCCCCTTTTCCCTTTCTCCCCCCCCCCCCCTTTTCCCTTTTCCCCCCCCCCCTTTTCCCTTTCTTTCTCCCCCCCCCCCTTTTCCCTTTCTCTCCCCCCCCCCTTTTCCCTTTATTGCTTTTCCCCTTCTTCTCTCTATCCCCTCCCCCTCTTTCTTCACCCCTTCTTTTGATGATTGCATTGTAACCTATCTATGGTGTCCGTTTATGACACACAGAATAGCTGCGATTCAACAGATCTCAGCTATTCTCTGGTCATTCACAGTTTGACACTCAGGAGATCATGTCAGCCCTTCTCTGGAGATCTGTGTTCTCCCTCCAGATTCTCCAGCCCAGAGCTGGAGAATCAGAGGGACCGAAAACTAAGCAGAGATAGTTTACCTCTGTTTAGTAAACTGATCTTTTACTATAATCTCGAGAGATTATAGTAAAATGAGCCATTTTTCAGAGTTTGTAGACTGTTCTCCAGCGTTTGGAGACCGTTCTCCCTTCGTTCGGAGAACTGCTTCATAAACTGCATTCACAGGAGAACTGTGTTCTCCGAGAATGCTGGAGAACTGAGCAGCGATCTATTACCGCTGGTTCACAAACGGACACCTATATGTGGATTATCCCCCTGAGTCTCTCCTCCTGCTGATTAGGCGGAGATGGGAGTAGAGTTGTTGGTTTTTCTGATTGTGCAAAAAAGTTTCTGATTTGTATTTTGTATATCCTGCCCATTTTGTAATGTGAACCTAGTATACCTTTGTATCTTGAATCCTATGTACTCACTGATTACTGTCGGAGTTGTACCACTGCTATGTGTTATGCCTTATTAAACTTGAATAAAGTTATTGTTAAAAAAGAAGTGGAAGGTATTTGGTACAACACAATCCCTCCCTGGATTAGGATGTAGCTCCAAACTAGATGAAAAAGCCAGGAGGAAACTGGTCAGAGAGGCTACCAATAGGCCTACGGAAACTCTGAAGCAGTTGCAGGAACTTATGACAAAGAGTGGTCACTGGGTGCATGGGACAACAATATCACACGTTCTCCACAAATGTGGCTTTTATGGGAGGATTGCAAGAAAAAAGCCACCCCTCAAGAAAAGTCACATGCAGTCACGACTGAGCTTTGCCAAAACGCACCTTGAAGATTCGGAGGCCACATGGAAAAAGGTTTTATGGTCAAATGAGACTAAAATTTAATTATTTTGCCTCAACACTAAACGATGTCTGGAATAAATCCAATACATCTCACCATCCAAATAACACCATTTCTACAATAAAGTATGGAGGTGATGATCTCCTGTTAGGGTGTTTCTCTGCAGCAGGGACTGGCGCACTTGTCAGGATAGAAGGAAATATGGATGGGGCAAAATACCATCAAATTCTTGAGGAAAATCTGCTGCCCTCTGCCAGAACGTTGTCAATGGGAAGAAGGTTTACCTTCTAACATGACAATTCCTTCACCATGACAACCCAAAGCACACAGCAAAAATGAGCACACAGTGGTTGAAGGAGGAAAAGGTGAATGTCCTTGCATGGCCTAGTCAGAGCCCAGACTCAAACCCCATTGAAAATCTGTGGAATGACTTGAGGACTGCAGTCCACAAACGGTCACCATCAAATTTAACTGAACTTGAACAGTTCTGCAAAGAAGAGTGGGCAAATATTGCAAAGTCTAGATGTGTAAAGTTTTTAGAGACATACCCCAACAGACTAAAGTCTGTAATTAAAGCAAAAGGTGGTTCAACAACATACTGACACGAGGGGTGGTCCTTTTTTCCAACTCTGATTCTGGTTTTAATTTTTTTTTTTCTGACCTATTAGTGTCATAGCTTTCACTTGGCTGTTCTAAATACAGCTGGATAAAACAAAAAACTGTCTGTCTTCATTTCAGGTTGCAAAGCAACAAAATGTGATTATTTTAAAGCGGGTTATTCTTTTCTATACTCACTGTATGCCTGCTGTACTATGTACTTGTATGAAAAAGTATGCTGTTCTCTTTGCACTGCTTCCTTTGTGTGAAATACCTGGAGTTCCTGCCAGTCCTTCATCACTAAGCAAGAGAACACACCATGGTCAATTCTCTAGCTATGCTGGGAACTCAGCCTGCTCCTGTCCAAAATTAAGTGACATTCTCCAAAAAGCTGTAAACCTATAACACAATATGGTCAGGCTGGTTACACTTCAAAATCTCAGCACCCTGCAAATCTTTCATAGAGATAGTTTGTCTTTATTATACAATAGAACCAGTTCAATTTACAAAATGTACAACCAGCAATTAATATGGGGGGGGGGCTACTAACTAAATACATGCTGGAAAGTAACAGGTGACCTCAATAATAGCGCAGAACCTCTACCCCTGCCCCCCCCCCCCCCCCTTCATGTTTCCTTGTCTTTTTGTCTATGTACCTTGTGTAAAGTTTGTGTTCTTTCAAACTACTCTGCCTGAAAAAGGTAAACGGACCTGGATTGTTTTAAAACTGATAACAACTGCATTGTTTTGTGACTTTTACTCCCTTCACATGGGTAGCCAGGGAGTGGTATTTACCATACTCCAAATGCCCACTTTCAAGCAGACATTGTGCAGTTTGGGTGAGTACACATAGCAAATTTAACATTACATGCTGAATTTCACAGGCACCGCCTGTCAAACTCCCCCATGTAAGTGGCCCAGGGTTGCTGCTGTCCTATTCAAACACTTGATTTGGAGTTGTGTTGTGGTCCTGCAATGCAAAAAGGTCATTCAGCAGTGTCAAGAAAAAAAAATTAGAACTTTTCGATGCCCGACATCAGAATGTAGTTTAGAGGGCAGGCACAGATGAGTAGATTTTGCAAGCATCAGGTTTTGGAATTGCTTATTACCTGCTCACCAATTGGAAAACAGGTAAAAAGTATGAATTGGTTGTTTTTAATTATTTTAGTTGCTTCTCCTTTTTAAAATAATATTCTGCTTGGTTCAGTGTCATCTCTTTAATTTGTTTGTTTGTTCGCATTAAAGGGTGAAAATATTTCTACTTATGAGCTTGTGGAACTGAGAATACAGAGCAACTGGGGCCATCCTGAATATACCTGCGTTTATCGATTCCGTGTCCATGGAGAAGCAGACGTGTAGCAAAGTGTTGTGATGACTGAATGGCCTTTGAGTTCCTTAGAAGAATAGTGTTGTATTTGCTGAGCAGCTTCTGCTCTGTACTGCCAGCATGATTGGTTGCAGTATTATCAGAGAAAAAAAACTGCCTCACTGCTGCATTGCCGAAACAGATTTCCCAGGAATACTGCTATACAGTATAATACCCCAGAAAGGCTGTTGAACAGCTTTATTTCAACCTATAAGAAGAGGAGACTACAGTGGTCTACATAATAATTTGATATGCTAAGCATCTGTTTGATGAACAGAAAGTGTACAGTTTCTTTAAGCTTTTATATTCACCATATGAAAATAACAAGATTCTGCAAACCCGCAACGTATCACTGCCCTTCCATGTGATACATGCATGCCATATTCTAAACCGTAGTCATGTTTTAGCTAAGACAATTCTAGTGATCTAAAACATTCTAGGAGCACTGAAACTGTTGATGTTTCCAACTCATTCTCATTGTTTCTCCACTGAGTGTACTGTATGTTATTCTGTGACTGATGGAACCCATTTCTATAGCCCTTGGAGTGGATTTTCTCACAGAATATGAGTATGTTGGGAAACAGGAGGTCTTGGGATGGTCAAGTTATTGGTATGTAAACAAAGTGTATGGCCAGCTGTAGTCCTTTTTTGTATTGTGGTCATGAAACACTTATAATTTTGTATCCTAATCACGTTTACATTTTTCTGTCAATGAGGACTGTCATTATGGTACAAACATTTTTTTCCAGGTTACCACAATGGTACAAATATATAGTTCTGAATAGATAAAGGCTAGATGAAGTTCTGAGAATGAAAAGATCAAAAACAAGATGTGGTGTCAGTAGAGTAGGTATGTAAACTTTTTCTTCCTTGATATTGTTTGTAGCCTACCTCTACATTTGAGGAGAGAAATGTAAAATGTTGAGAAATGTATCACTTTTATACATATGCTTGGAGTCAAATACAGGAGTTGGATAAAGAATTCAAATGACCTACAAATAATAAAGGGTTTCTTTTTGCAATTGATGACCTGAATTTTAGCACTGATAATAATGTCAATTTGCTTGCCATTTAAAAGCCAGCCATGTAAACTTACAGAAACTTTGCTTGGTAGTGCTGTTCACTGTGTTCAGTCATTGTCAAAGGCTGATGGAGCAATGTGTTATTTTAATGTGGTTTAAAAATATGGTAAAGGAAATGTATTAATTTTGACATTATTCATGGAAGTTATATCTAAACCCAAAAGCTACAATTTTATATATTGCAGCTTATCACTCATAAAATGTGTTGGCTGAATTCGTTTTCTTTTAGTAAGCCTTTTTCCTTTATTTTCATTGAGTAATCCAGCCAGTAAGTCAGTTATTTTTCAACTTCCTTTACCAGACCAAGCTGTGCAGCAAAAGTGGAAGTTAGGGGGTTTAGACAAACCATTAAGCATTGACAGAGGTATTTACAATGGTCAGATTTTGTTCATTTGTGTACAACCTTTCGCCATAGGCTGAAAATGCTGTTGTCCAGGGCTGGCTCCATTGCTCCTCTAAAGAGTGGGGACATCCTAGAACAGGAAATATGTTCTAGTGGCTGTGCACTGCTCTCTCTGTTTCTGCATTTATGGACCCTAGCCACATAGACCACATTTGCAGTGACATCATGCCCTATCTCAGAGAGGTATTTGGTATTGAAGCAAAACTGTTTTTGCTAAATACTAGACAATAGGATTACATTACAGGAATTACAATATGCAGTCGGTACTTCCCTGCACTTCCCCTTACCCTGATTCATTGCCACACCACCCAAGGTCACTTTTCCGGGGAAGTCAAAACTTACACAAGCTTCTATGCCTATTGCTTGACTGCTCAGGTCCTAGGTGTTACCATTTGGGTGTGGAGAAACCTGTCCCACACTTCTCACCTTACCGCAATACAAGTATTTCTCTCTGGGAACAGAGAGAATGTAATTATTGGCTGCTTAGGGTCCCCTAAATGAACCTGTTACTCTGATTTAGCATTAGACTGCTATCAAAGAAAATTATACCTGTAGACATAAATGTAATGGTAGTATCCAGTATTCGAGTTCCCTGTCAAGGGTGCTTTACACTCAATGCTTAAAGTGACCCTAAACTAAACTCTGATTTAAAAAGAAATTGTCTATAAAGTATTTATTTTTTTTTTTAATTTTTGTTAGAATGGAGAGGGATTAGAACACCTTTCAGGTTTTTATTGCTGTCCGCGTTAGGGAGATTCACCCTCTATTCCTCTGTTTACTGGTTTCACCGAGATTGAAAGTGTAAGAAAACCCCACAGTTCGAGTTGTCACCAGAACAGGAAAAGAGAGGAAAGTTTCCAGTGGAGACCATCAATTATCTCAATTTCGAGGGATTTCCTCCCACTTTCTGTTTTGGCTGTGGGACAGGAAGTAAAGGTAAATCTCCCCAATGGGATGCAGATACCAAAAAAAGTGACAGGAGTTCTAATCCTCCCTTACGCCGAGTTCACACTAGTGCAATTTCAGATGTGATTCGAGTCTCACCAAATCGCATGACAAGGCAAATCAAATTGTTTTCAATGGTGCCTGTTCACATCAATTCGATTCTGCCCTGAGCGATTTTGTAAAAGGTTCCTGTACTACGTTGATGTGATTCCAGTGCAGTTTTGGCCCCATAGAATATACAAACCTTATCAAAGTTACATCCAAGTAGGACTACATAATCACACTGAAAGTCAGATCAAAATCATATGGCAGCAGTGTGATCCTAGCCTTACTCTATCCAATTTCTGCTTTTCAGCCTCCTCTTCTTCTTCTTTTTTTTTTTTTTTTTTTTTTTTTACCACTGCTATGTCTAGATCAGCCGTTACGCACTATGGGGAACAAATGTTGCCACTCTCTAAGTATGTAGGAACATAGCCACCTTCTCTTTCTTGCTCCCAAGATGAACTAGGGACTATGATCGTGGTGGTCATCTTGTGACCTTCAAGTGCGGCTCTCTCAACATGTCCAGAGGGCTGCACAATAGCATAGTTTTTGAAAAATTGCGATTAGATGACTACATCATGATGCAGGAAAAAAAAAAGAATCTATGTACAATGTTTATAGTGGTTGTAAACCTCAGTCATGAAATCTAATCAAAGCACATATATGTGTAGTGTTTACTTGTCTTTGTCCAAAGCTCAGAGTGTTATTTCCCTCTGGTGATTCATTCCTCTGTTATCAGCACGTGTCACTTCTGAGTTTTCCTTACATGAGATAAAATAGTGATGGGGAGGGAGCTCAGCACAGCTTATCTTCCTTAGTTTCTGTGTAGAGGGGTGTGTCCCTTTCCTCCAATCAGCTCTCACACAATGTACATGTTTTCTAACTGCAGCTCTCCGCCCCCTCCTCTGTGCTGTTGACAAATAAGGATTTTATCACAATTCAGCCCATTTGAAGGAATGTAGTGAAGAGAAAACTGCAGATGAAACAAATCTTCCTACATAAGTTTTACTTGTTTATCTGTGTATCCCCAGAGGCTATTCAATTCACTGGCTATATGAGAGGGTTTACAACAACTGTAATGTTAAGATTAGATCAAGTTGGGTTTGCACAGACAGAAATTAGTACAATGGAAAGATCTTCACAGGTTTCCAATCATTTAAACTGGTGACCTTGTGCTTGCCTACTCAAGTGTTTAATGTTTAGCAGTAAACACAAATGTGATTCCGACACAGCACTGCACTCCCACAAAGTCATCCTGCATCAAAGCCCCCTCCTGTAACTGTTGTTCCTTACAATCATCAATCACAGCAGTCTCCTTTTCCTTTCCGTTAGATCTGCCCCTGACTCTGTACCCCCACATCAAATTTCCTTCTCCAGCTACAAACAGTACACAACCTTTTTCATATTTACATAATCCACATTTAATGAGCTGCAGCATTCACAACGGTTGCTTCTTTTACTGATAAATGGAAAGTACGAGTGAATCGGTTAATTTTTAATTTTTTTTTTTACTGCTGCAGCCCAGTTGGCTACAGGACTCTTTTTGATTGGCTGGACTGTGATAAGACTAGCCAGCCTGTGCCCTGCTGCTGGCTGTGAATTAAGATTACAGCTGGTACTTCTGGAGCCATGTATACCTGCATAAAAGTGCTTCATTGACAGACCCAGGGTGTGGCATACAGAGTGCTAGCTGGCCAGGGGACTATGGGATGTGTAGTCTGCAAAGAGCAGTGCATATGACCACAAGAAGAGGCTCAGGAGCTAACAGGATGTTACAAGAAGGCAGAAAAACACAGTAAGAAATGATTTCAAGAAAAAGTAGATTGCAAGGCCATGAAGTAGTGGATTTATAAGGATTTTGTTTAGTGTCACTTTAAGTACCTATGACAGTGGTATAGCTTGTCCCAAGCCCTCTCACTGTCACTTTTGCTGGACAGCTTGGTCTACAAGCATATGTGCTGAACTTTGCAGAATGCTTTCATTATGGATATTAAAGGCATACAGGTATCTGAGAACAGTGCTCTGTGGTTATAGTCTTTAACTCCACCCAAGAAATTATGCCCAGTGTCATATCTTAATAATGGTGTTCACCTAACATCTCTAAAAGTAACTTAAATAACACTTTCACCAACCAAGAATTACTATATAGAAAAGTTGTTTCTTTTTATTTTATGCAAAATACATTGGTAACAATAAAAAATGTTTCCTTTTAAGCTGACCATAGATTATACAATTTTCTTATTCAATTGCCTTTAGATTTACCTTCAACTGTGTATTGCCTGGGCCTGCCTGATTGCACACAAATTGAAAGTGTTTAGGTTTGAAATCATATGTTTTTGGTAAATCTCTAAAGGAAAATTATACCAGAAAATTGTATAATGTAAGGCCAGCCTTATGGCTTCTTGTTGGTTGTTAACTCAGTTGGATATTTTTTATCTTTTGTTTTGATGCACTGGCTATAAAGGCATTCAAAAGCCTGCATATTGCACTTGCTTACTTGTTTTCATGTTGATATTATTTT